AGGTTGAGGGGGAGGTAGGGAGGGAGGGAGGATCAGCACTTTGTACGCCAAAAAGTGTGTGCGTGTGTGTGTGTATGTGTGTGTGAGACTGTGGGGACGTCCTATAAATCAGGGAAGCAGAATATTTGGCAGTGGACTGATTTCTTCTGTCCAACTCTCACACAGAGTGAATCCTCCTTGAGGACACCTGCATGTGGTCGAGGACACTCTTCTTTACTGTGTCCTCCTCCTCCTCCTCCCTTACTCTCCTTTGTTTCTGCATCACGTCCTCTCTTTTCTTTATTTCGTCCTCTCTGTCTCTTTAATCCCTCCATCCTGTCATGCATTATTAATGAGGGATGGACACACTCTCAGACATTGGAAAGGGGTCCCCTGCAGGAGGTGGGCAGGCTGCAGTACCACCGTCCACCACCAGGTGTCACTGTTCACCAGCAGATATTCCTGCTTCCTCTTTGAAAGGAGCATCACAAACACTTAAAGTGTTTTCTTCCTGTCGACAGATCTCACGTTCAGACTCCAACCAGCAGTAAATTGATCTTCTAACATTTACTGTGTGTGTTAAAGTCTGTATCTTTACAGACTCAGCAGTGTTACTTCGTTACACAGGACCCGGCCTAAACACTTACTACAGCACCAAATGTGGATTAATCTGCCGCTGGAAATAGTCCCCAAACAAACTGTGTCTGCAGTAGGACCCATACCACTGTTATATACTGTAATATAATGCACATATTTCCATGTTCTTATTATTATTTCCATCTCTTATAATGTCTTTTTTTGCAACTTGAGCGGCTGTAATCCTAAATATTTTATGGATATTTAATATTATATTAAAAACTGCAGGAAGTTTGTGTAAAACAAGAGATTCTGATTAATTTTTGAGCAGATAATTTCCTGTTTAGGGAACTTTTTATACAATTCTCTGTCTCTATTATGTATTTTTTATCATTTTTAACAATCATACAGAGTTAAGTAACGTATTTAAGTGATTTGTATGTCCCTGATGTTTGGTCATTGTTCCATTATACAGTTTGATTTACCTTTACTTTTTGTCACAGAAGTGAATTAGATGCTGAGATATAGGCCTACTGTGTGTATTTTTAAAAAAAAGTTTTCTAAATCAAGAAGTTCTTGCAACCCCCCCTTATGATGCTTTGGCGACCCTTGGTAGGGTCAAATTAAGCGTGAACTAAAATCTTACTGTATAAAAACAGTAAACAGTGCTTAAAACTGCAACTAACAGTTATTGTAAATAATAATAATAATAATAATAATAATAATAATAGGTAATTCAGCAATATGAAAACGGGCTGTTTATAATTTTAAACCTGCAGACGGGAAGTAGCCGTGGAGACTCTTCACTGTAGAGTCTGTTGTGTGCCGAGGTCAATAGAAATCTAGACACACTGTCACGTTATAAAGGCAGTGAGTTAAACAGAAGGAAACGGCATCAGTCCCTGTGAATCCGTGTATCATTCGTTCTTTTCATATTCAATTGAGGTTCCAAAATCGGAAAATGAAAAAACGGTTTGTTATTTCCTTATTCGTTTATGAATCTGATACCAAAAAACAAATAACGGTTAATTTTTTGTACTTTCGATTTATTGCTCAGATCAAAAATAGGAAGTGAAATAATGGGCCACGGATCGATTTTGATTTTGATATTTTATTTTTTCGCTTTGTGTGAACCGGAAGTTATTGTCTCGTTAGCTTGATTCACTTCTTCAGTTTAACTAACGTTAGCCTTCAAAACTGAGGATCAATCATGGAGAGTTTCATCTTCTTCAGAGGAACTAAACGGGTGACTGTCAAGGAAGACGACATGAAATAAGTCTTTAATTAAATCAGCATATGGTTCCAGTGCGGCCATGGTGTCAATATGAAATTACTCAAAAAATACAGAGTTCAATCACTGAATGATACACAGATTCCTGTGTTTTGTCTTTAGAGTAACAGGCTTTTGACTGGCAGCTGTGATTTTGTGTTACATGACTGTGAGCAGCACACAACAAACACAGCAGCAGTCAGAGTTTTAACAGAAGATCAATATGGACGGACTGAACTCCTGTTAGACGTCCTCAGTCTGCTCAGGTTGAACGCTCAGAGAACGAAGGCCAACAGTGTTTCCCTGATTTCAATCCAAAACCTGTCATTTAGCTGCTACTTGTAGTTTGTTTTTCTGTGAATGTCGTGTTGTTCTTTTTTTTTTACAGTTTTTACAGTGTTTGTGTTTACCTGCTGAGTATTGGTGGGATTGGGAGGGAGAATGTAACGAGCACTGTTGATTGTAATGTCCTCATACTGTCACCCAGTTGTTTACCCTAAAAACTTTAAAATCAGACCTTTTATATTAATAATAAACACTTGATCAACAAATTCAAGGTTCTCAAACTTTGGTACAAGTATAAGTTGTAAATATAATACTATCAAAATACTACAAAATTATACTATAAGTGTGCTGAAATGTAATATTTAGTGTCAGTATCAGCGCACTCATACATCCATGATTGGCATGGAGCTAAACTGTGGTCATAAGTTACCGGGCGGAGGTCAGATGAATGGTTCAAAAACACTGTAACTGTGGCTCCAAATGGGAACTATCACCAAATTAGCTCTGGTTCTTGAACTGGTTTTGTTCAGGATTCAATCAGTCAATAATCTTTTATTAGGAATAAACCTGCCTTTCTGAACAGGGTTGACCTTCGCTGCTGTATTTCAACATTGGTCACATCGGTGGTAATATATTTTCTGAGCCGTTAAAAGTTGAATGAAAGAAAGAATCGATTGCTTCATGATGACTGTTTAAGATACGATATTGTGTATGAGAATTTCAGTGTGGTAGCCATAATGTTTCTACAGTTTGCTTTATTTTTAACAGTATCATTTTGCATTATTTTATTATTTTGGTTAAATTCAATTCAATTCAATTAAATTTTATTTGTATAGCGCCAATTCATAACAGAAGTTATCTCAGGACACTTTTCAAATAGAGCAGGTCTAGACCGAACTCTTTAAAACATTAATTACAGAGACCCAACAGTACCACCATGAGCAAGCACTTGGCGACAAGGGCAAGGAAAAACTGCCTGTTAAAAGGCAGAAACCTAGGACAGATCCTCCGGCTCTGGGTGGGTGGTCGTCTGTCTCGAGTAAATAATAATAAGTAAATAAGAGTGTTGACCAATCTTTGTTTTGTATTTGTCCAAAGTTTTTTTATTTATGTGTATCTATGTCAATATATCTCCTCGAAGAGTCTGCAGGTCTGCAAGTTTAAAAATAATTGACAGAATAATAATATATAATAAAACTCTCCCTAACTCAAGCGCTGTTTGGCCTCCAAATCCAAAACCTGGTATAAGTTCAGGTCTGAAAGAACTGTGAGGTATCCCCCAAAGCACCATCGTATTATTAATATATGTTAAATCACAGCATGTTCATTTATTTAGGATTGCCTGACTATAACAGGCATAAATAAATTAGAACGATATGAGTGAAGACTGTAAAATAAGTGAATATTGGCAGAGTGGTAGCAGCAGATTAGTTGTTACTTTACAAGAGTTTTCCAGGATCAATAAGCTGAGATTGTAACACATGATGGATTTCACTGCTCAGTTTTCTTTTTTACTTTAATTTTTGAAATTGTTTGTTGTGGAAAAATTTGGATGTTCTTAAAAAGTCAGGACTTCTCTGTAAGATGATGGCATATTTGGAAAGAGAAGAGACTCGGGAAAGTTGGGGGACTTTTTGCAATCGGGGATATTCTTTGAAAGGAATTCGTTTTTTGGAAAGTGAAGACCTCTTTGAAAAGTCAAAAAGGTCAACACATTTTGGACAGAGAAGAGTCTTGGGAATGTTTTTTTAAAAGTAGCAATGTGAGGACACTTTTGGAAATTGAAGATGTTCAAGAGTGTGATTGTTGTTTGTCTGAAGTGAGAACGTCTTTTAAAAGTGAGGACCTTTTGGAAAGTCAAGACATTCGAACTTTACAGCTTGATCTTACTGAACAAAATCTGTATCATAAACCTTTGTTTGCCACAGATTTCTGCAATAATCCAAAATCAGATTGAAAAATCCTGTCATCTTTTTGTTGAAAGAACCAGAGCGATTCTAACGTCCGGGTTTGCCTCTGGCGATGACTCACTGCCAACCTTTTGACTGCTTATGAAACCTTTAACTTTTATTTACATGATAACACACACTGGAAATCAGCTGTAATGAATAAAAATAGATAAATAAAACATGTTCTGTGGAGAGAGATAAAAACAAACAAAAAAGAAATGTTATCATGTTGAAACCTTTTCAGAATGTGAGAAAACAGGTTTATTTTGAGCTGTTTGTTTCTGTTCGTCCAGCGTTTCAACACTTTCATCACCAAAGTTACAGCATGGATATTAAAATTGGACCTTTTTTTGTAATAAACGCATAATGTACAATGTTTTTTTTTACTGATTCGGAGAGCACACACTCATGAACACACCTACATCAAAGCAGTACAAACAGATCAAAGCACTGATGTCTAAAATGACCAGTCATCTGAAAGAATTTCTTTCTCGTATTCTCTCTCAATCCCTTTCTTTCTTCCCACTTCCAACAAGTGATACATAATTTAACAAAGGAGATTTCGTGTCTCTCTGTTTCTTTGTCCGTCTGTTTTTCTTTAAACAGCCTTCAACGCAGCACAGATATCTGTTGATAAGTTTAAAGTTACATATCACAATGTGACAAATTATACAAAATCGCATATGTGTTCAAAGATTCCTGATCTGTGTTGTGTATGTGTTCAAACATTAGGGCTGTATACTGGCAAGAATCTGTCTTTGAATTTATATTTATTACAGTTGTTGTAATTGCCAACATCATGTTTTTAAGAATTTATACAATGACGAAACAAAATATCGCAATACGATATTTCCTTACAGCCCTGTCATACATCAGCAGTCTAACATCTATAAAATTTGAATCCTTGTTGCTGTTTTCTGACTTTTCTCTTTTGTTTTCAGTCACAGATACTTCACCCCTCCAGCCAGGAAGACCAGGAACCACTAACGGACCAACGCCCAGCTCCACCGCCAACCCAAGCTCTGCCTCCAGCTGACCCCTGTTCCACCAGACCCAACATCCCTGCTGACAACGCCACCGACGACCCCCTAACCGAGGGAGAAACGGATTATTTGAAACAAACCAGGAAACAGGAGGATAAAGGAGAGACGAAAGAGAGGAGAAGAACCTACACCAGATCCCTGCAGCTCCCACAGCCCTCCAAACTCCGCCTTTTCCTGTCTCAGACCCCCAGCTCCGGCTCTGCCGCCACCATGCCGCCGAGGATGGGGGCGGTCAGGCAGCCGCCTCATGACCCAGAGAGCACTCCTGGGGTTAAGATCAAAATGGCGGCCTTCACCTCCAGCTCCTCCCGCCTCCCCAAGCCGAAGAGCCACTGAGGTGTCTGCCTCTTAAACCACCTCCTTAACACGCAATGATGTGAGCCAACAGACCACCGACGGCCCTGACGAGTCATTCTGCTTGTGTTTATCAGTAATGATTGATCCTGAATGCCAACCTGTGGCTGCTGCTAGAAAACTAGACTTCCTGTATTCCTAATTTCTGATTATTATAGTCCGCGGACGATGTGATCGAGACGCTGAAAGCATCACTAAATTATTTAAGTTGTAAATGAGATGAAATATATATACAGTTAACTTATTTATTGTTAATATTTTGAGCAGTCTGACTGATAAAGGTTTCAAAACTTGGTGACACTTTATTTTACAGGTCCTATAGTCTCCTAATGATTTCCTTTAAAGACCCCAATATATAACATTAAATCCACAGGAATGTTCTTGGTAGAGGTGTAATGATACACAAAGTCTACAGTTCGGTTTGTGTCTTGGCTTCAGAGACACGATAGCTCATTAACTCGATTTAGTTCTTAGGCAAATGTCAGTAATGCCGTCGTAAATGTTTGCATACAGTCTACGAAACTGCGAGTCGGCGGTGCTTGGTTTTCAGTCTGCTGCTTTTACATATTACAGCTAAACGGTAAATCAAGTAATATCTTCATTGATATTTAGCATTTTTCTAGTTTGACAGTTTGATCAGATTTACTTAATCTTGGGCAGCGATATTGGGATGACCTTAGTAATATAACTTTTTAAAACTCTGATACTGCAGATGTCATATAGTTCATAAAAACTCTTATTCAAACTTCCAGCTGAGTGAATGTTCCACAATAGAGGTAAATATATATACATATATATATATATATATATAAAAGCGAGAGCACAAATGAGTCTTCTGTTGTTGCTTTCTCCATGACGCCTGTCTGTCACTTCCCAATAATTAATTCCAGTTAATTAAGAGTCTGTTAGCGAGTGCACAGCAGGTCAGCTGCTAAAAACTCAAATTTGTCCATATGAAAAATAAAGTTTTCAATAATAAATTATTATTATTACATAAAGTACTTTAACTGGAGCAATTACTTCAAGTTAAATTATCTACCAACTAAACTAAAATAACTCTATTTTCTCTATAGACGATATTTTTTTAGAGAAACTTTGGGACCGGTAAAATAAAGCGCTGCCAGAAACCTTTAAAATGATTCTTATACATTACGTGTTTATTTATTTCCTGGAGAAAACCAATAAAAGACATAAAAACTGAAGTGCAGAACAAATTTAAAAGACAATACTGGAAGCTTGTTGGTTCCTCTGTTCCTCAGCAGATCACATCTAAATATTCCAGCTCTTACTCCACGCGTGTTAGGAGGCAGTTTTACTGTTTGTGTGCCTGACTGACTGACTTCCTGTCTGACTTCGGACTGGAAGAAACTCGTCGAACCTAGCTGCTCCCCCACCCTTTCACCAGAACCTCTGCGAACAAAGAAACCAAGTCTTCCTCGCTGGGGAGGCGCCCAAACACAATGACTTGTATCCCAATGACCCCCGACCCATCCATCTGTCCGTCTGTTCGTCTGTTCATTTAAGAACCTGCTGCTCTGCAAAACAACACGTCTCCAAGGTCAGAAACCTCTGTTGTAGTTTTCATCCTCTAACTGTCCACACCTGTTTGTTCTTTCTTGTCTTTACTTGTAGTCGTATCCTTGTGAGTCCAGAGAACGATGATTCCTTTTTGAGTCCACCTAGAAAGACAAATGATTCCTTTGCTCCTGCGTGAGATGAGAAAACTTGACCGTCCTTGTTCTTGTTGAGAGAGAACTTGAGTTGTAAAAACAAGGTGTTTTTTCTTGTTATCTGAAGAGTCAACATGTTGGAGGAGCAAGGTTTTTAACCAGTCTCACAGAAGCCCTCAAGGTTGGCTAAAGACTGCAGGAGGTTAAAGGTCTCAGTATGCTTCAAACATAGCGCTTGTCTGCAAGTACAGTTTTGAGATACTTGAGGGACCAGTGTGTAGGAATTAGTGGCATCTAGTGGTGCAGCTGCAGTTTACAACCCCCTCACTTCAATCTCCTGTTCCAAGCATTAAGGAGAAACTACGGTCCCTAAATAGAACTACTGTAGAAACATGGCGTGTGTTGATTAAAAACGTCTTATTCTAAGGTAAGAAAACACAACAGTTCTTTTTTTCAGGTGATTATACACTAAAGAAAACATACCAATGAGTATTATATTTTATTTCTGAAAATAGATCCTCCTCAATGTTACACACTGGACCTTTAAGCATCTGCTATATTTATTAGAAAACTACGAAGGGAACAGACTCAGAATTGAGCTTGAGAGCAAGGTTTTTGATGACTGTTTTTGAAGAGTAAGATAACTAGTTTTCTTAATAAAAAGTTTATTTACAAGTACAGATATTGATACATTGCAACCCAATGGACTGGAAAAAGGTTGGAAACTACTGTCCAGAGACTTGTTGGAGAGAGATGAGGGATGCACATTGGACTGTTGGTTTGAACCATACTGAGGCCTTAAACTAACTGTGGTGACAACTGGAAGAACATTTATTTCAGTCTCAACATTCAACAGACAAGGAGCAGTTTTCTAAAGACTGAAAACTCTCTTCTGTCAGTTTATAACATCTTACATCACATTTTAGACTGAAATATGCAGGGTCCGTCCTCACATTAACATTTTGTCAGAGAAAACACCTGGTGAGACGGTAAAAGGAGCCCGTTGACATTTACTCTCTACCTACACAACGAGTACAATATTATCTCATTTACATCAGTGACTCTGCAGTGCTCTTCATCCAACACTGCTTGCTTTGATATTAACAGTATATGCAATAAAATATGCAACATCATACTGTAGGTTTAACCCCAATAGCTGACACTCTGTCCCACCCCCGTGCCCTCGAGCAACAGTGGAGGGTGGCGATGAAAATATATGCAAACTTAGCTAAGTTTTTCCTGCAGCCGCAGATGGTTTGTGGTCCTACAGACAATCCTAGAAATGTTCTTGGTCATCTGACAGAAATGACACATGCTGGTAACGAGGAACACACAGAGATCGCTGCAACCTCGGGACGCTTGAAATATTACTGATGAAATCTAAAACAACAACAGCACCAACAACAACAACAACAACAACAACAGCAGCAACAGCAAGTGTAACTAAACCCCGAAAATCAGGTGGAAAAAGCTAACCAGCCACGAGCAGCAGCTGCCAGACTACACGCTGGAAACACAGAGAGTTCGCTGGAGCTTTTACAGTCACTAGAAACACATTCATGTTGTTTGTAAAAGTTTCTGTGAGCTACCTGTGTTGTAACGTTAGCTAAGCTAGCAGCTCAGAGAGGCTAACTCTCCGGTGTCAGGCTAGAGTGGTTGGTTTTATATCAGCAGGGGTTGGTTGGTGATGTCACCTGCCTCTAGATCATCCAATAGCAAAATTAAATTGCAGTAGCTGGTTTCAACCAGTAGAGGTCGCTGTGCATTTTTAGGTCAGAAGATGTACAATTTAAATACTTTGCACTAAAATGTCCAGATTTGTATCTGAATCAACCAACAACACTCGTAAACACCCTGATACAGCGGTCATGCAGAGAGTTTCAGCAGAAAAAGGTGGTTTGGGGTTTAGTTACTTAAATGATCCATAAAATAATCCGACATCGATAATGAAAATGATCAAGGTTCTGCGAGATGATTCCTCCAATCAGGCGTCAGCACCTGATTGGATGAACACTTTTTAAAGATTTTAAAGTGAAATTAGCAGCTTTATTAATTATTCTTAATTAGCTTTCACAGACATATAAACTAATAACTTTACTTTACTTTTCCTATGTTCTTATTCCCTTAATTTCCCTCTTCTATTCACACCACCTCTTTTACCTTCCTTCACCTTCCTTCACTTCCTTCTTTCCTTTCCTACCCTCTCCATGGATTCTCAACAGCCTCCTTTCTTTACCCTTCTCGTCTTTTATCTCCTTATCTTACTGTCCTTCATACTTCCCCCTCTCACTTCTTTCCTAGCCTCCTCCACCGTCAGTTTTCCGTGCTGTTAATCAGAGCTGTGTGTTATCAGCGGCCTCCGACTGGGAGCGAACTGGGAGGATTTGGGGGTGAAACAAGAGCAGATTAACAGTTTCTCAACTGGAGCTTAAACTGGATTTACCTGCTGAACGTTCTCACCCCAGAACAGACTCTGAAGACAGGCCGATGCTTAAACCTGAAGGTCACTTCATCTTAAAGAGAAATAACAGTTAATCTGCCTCCCAGCAGCCCGCCGGCCAATTAAAATCCTCCTCTGACAGAACAGCTGGAAGCAGCCGCTTACATCCATAGCAGGGAAAGTTGTCGGTTTCAAACTCAGGATGAGTTCAGTCAGCAAAGACACGTTATTTATTGCTATTTAGGTGTACCTAATAAAGTGATTGTTACTGACGTTGTCCCCCAGAGGGCACCGATTTCTGCAAACACATCTGGGTAAAATTTCAAGTTTAGATTTGAGAAAATGATGATTAGCTAGTAAATTACCATATTTTGTAACATTGTGTGTCAGTTACACTATGTACATTAGCTCTCGAATGTCCCATTGAAATCGATCAATCACATATCAGACAGCTGTTATGATATTTTCTCTTCATGTTGAGTCACGGCGCCGTTCTTCTACTACTGACCTGCTCTTTGGCCTCCAGCTGAGGCAATCGGAGCTCTGTTAATTCATGCAAGTGTCAAAAAACCCAGCGGGGTGTCTTCAGATCCGAAAATCACTGCGTCTCACACACACACTGTAGACGGTTTATAGCTGCAACAATTTAACACAAACGTAAAAAAGAGGAAACACAAATTCTTCTTCCCTACCTCCTCGTTATGTCTCCTGGTTACCTTCCCTACCTCCTCATTATGTCTCCTGGTTTCCTTCCCTACCCCCTTTAATACATTCTAGCAAGTTGTTGCTCAGCTGCAAACACAGTTAAATCATTTCATTTCCATCATTTCACAGAAAGACTCACACAGGCACAAAATAAAACCCATTATCAGTTCGGTCTCAAGGTTTCACTCCGACCTTCATGTTTCTGTGGGGTGTTTCTAAACCGTAAAAAGGTTGTAAATGATAGAAAACAACTCGTTAATGGGTCCAAACTCTGATTTCAGCTTCTCAGATGTGAATATTTTCTGGTTTCTTTCAACCTCTCCGCCAATAAACTGTGTCTTTGAGTTTTGGACAAAACAAAACATTTGAGAACATCACCTTGAAAAACGATGATCAACACTTTTCATAATTTTCTGACATTTTATGGAGCAAATGTGAATATTTGCTGGTTTTTTTTCCGTCCCCTTCAGTTCTGGGAAATAATAACAGGCATATTTCACTATTTTAACATTTTAACTAAACAATTATTCCAGCAGGTAATTGGCAGATTAATCAATAATAAAAAAAAGATTTAAAGAAAAAGAAATTGACGGAAATTTCATTTAGACACTAAAAGGTAAACATAAGTCCCCAGTTGGATTAAAATAATCATTTTTATAATTTACAGGACTGATTACTGAACTCAGATTGTACTTTAATCTGCTTCATGAGAAGTTTTATTTAATGTTCAGAGCATGTTTAAGTTAATTTATCAGCATTAAAACAACGATACCACATGCAAACCAATCATTAAAGAGCTGCTTTTTACTTTAATTTCGCCTGTATTTCAAAATAAGAGCACAGTTATTCAGATAACTTCATCCTAGATGAACAAATCAAACCTCTGTAACAGAACCGGATGAATTGTTGTTGTAGTTGTTGTTGTTCAGTCACATCCACATGAACTGTCACACACACTGGAAACAACGGAAGAATTCATATTTGAACTGAACGTCACAAACGATGAAACATTAAATAAAAAGTAATTTGTTGGAATCTGCAGTAAAGTTGAGCTGCAGACACGTTGGCGCGCTGCTGCTGTTTCTGTTGATTGTTGTGTCCATTACTGACAACCCTGTGTGTGTTTTTCTGTCTAATCCAATCATCAGGTTTCACCATGTTTAGGAGTCATAAATGTCACTGAAATGGCCTTTAATAAGTTTCAGTTTTGCTCAGAAAAAGATCAAATATTGTAAATTCTCATTTGTTTTGATCAAACCTCAAATATTCAGCAAACAAATACTGGAGTCGCTGCTTTGGGTTAAATTCATAGTAATATACATTTCCACTGAACATAAGTTTCTCTTTTAACAAAAAAATGAAATTAATCCCAAAACACGTCTCCTTTTTTTGGAGATATTTCACATTAAAAGCCGAGGCGAGGAGAAATCATCTCTTTAAGCTGTCAGAATACTTTTAATGTGGAAGTGCAGGAAGTGTTGAGACCCACTGACAGTAGCTTAACAACGAGGAAAGTAGAAGAGACTTTGGAATAATTAGTGAACAAAAATGTATACAAAAAGATAAACATCAATAAATGTATTTGTGTATTTAATAATAATTGTAGACCTTTTTGTCCCTCCTGGTTCTCCGTCATTATTGGACCAGTATGAGTGAAAAAGGCTTTAAATATTATTCTGTGTGATCATTTGGAGAACAGAGCAGAAACCCTTAATTAGCTGTGGAAATGTATGTTATTACTTAAATTAAAACACTACAATTTGATAAAAGATATTCAAAACTTGAGGTAAATAAACAATTTGAGAATGCACAGTTTGATGTTTTGCAGGTTTTCCACAATAAGCTGCTTTGTTGTCGATAATATTTCAATCTCTGTATTTACGCATATTTAAATGGACGTTTAATATCTCCTGTTGTATCTGAACAACCTTGAATAATCACAATAATGTCTCTACAGTGTATCCACTCTGCTGCGTTCCTGTACTGTACACTCTGTGTGTTGTCTGGGGAAATACTTTTATTTTGAAAACTTGAAGGACAGGTATTTTATGTTGACAGACATCCTGCCATTTCCTCCCGATTTTGTTGAATTTAATTTGTGTGCAATAACTGCAGTGTTTTACCTCGCCGCCGCCCTAACTCTTATTTATGTGATAAACTGTACAAAGTCTTACTCACTGTAATTATTATTGTTATTATTATTAACACTGAATTGTAAGCTTGTAAAGCGTCTCAGTCTAAAAATGCACTTTAAATGAAACCAGACGATTTGGGGGCTCGTCCAGCTCGACTCTTAAACACAAAAACATCTCAAATTCTGAGTTTTAGTTGTGTTTTTTTGTGTGTTTTGGGTCATATAACCATCACTTTGCATTTATGCTGCATTCATGTCCAATAAACTCACCTTGAAAATGTTCCCACGTGACGTAAATGCGGCGTTCTCGCACACGTTCTGCTTCTCTTTACCCACAATCCCTCGGGTTACAGATACCCGCTCCGTCTCTTTAAGAATATCATATCATCATACTTCCTGTTTACCTGCGTCAGGCCTGTGACATCACATCCTGTTTTGTGTGACCGAGCTTTGATGACGCTGTTTGTTGACTCCCTGCTGCGATTGGCTGATAGAGCCCCTCTGTTGCTTATTGGTTGATATTTACTGTCCTCTTCTGTCATTGGCTGAGACGTCTCTGATGCTGCTGAAAAGACGAATGCTAAAATAAAAATAATCCACAACAAAAGTTTGTTTGTTTTTTTTACCTTAATTTCTTTGGATTTATGCGTCTGACGGTCGAAATTATTGTTATTAAAGTTATTTAATATTAGAAATATAACCATGGTTACCTGGTGTCAATGGCAATCATACGTCTGTTTGCTAAAAGCTAAAAATCTAAAAAAAATCTCGTCTCGACTGCAGAGGTTCAAAGAACCTTTTAAAAAACAAACAATAATTAATATTGTTCCTTGAAGTTTGACGCCATCACATGACAATCAAATCGTTCATTTTACAAATATTTTATCTGCAAATTGTAAAAAAGTTGATGTTCCCCCACCTTCATTAAAAATCCAGCATGGAGGATTTAGCGCCACCCAATGGTGTAGTTGCAGATCTCAACTCCCTCGCTCCCACCCTCCTCTTCCAAGCATAAATGAGAAACTTTTTTTTTTTTTTTTTTTTTTTTTTTACAGATTATGAATATTATAGATTATTCACAGACTCATCCAGTAACTTTTTATCTTGTAATTTTGACTTTTTTTCTCAAAATTTACTTTTTATCACATAATTATGACGTACCACCATTTAACTTTAACAGTTTTTTAGATACTAATACACCAGATAAATGTAGTTTACAGTATGTGGGAAGTTTTTTTTCCTCCTTTTTTATTACAAAACATAAAGTATAAGAATGACAGTTCACCGTATGGATCACATGACTCTGACCAAGAAACAGTTTGACACATAAGAACCCACAAAGCCGAAAACTGTTGTTACACACTAACCAAGCATGGGGATGTTTTCACTAATTTTTTTTCTTATTTTTTTAATTTACTGGCAGTAATTGGCTCCATAGACTCATAGATAGATAGAAAAATAGTGTAACAACAGAAATTGTCACACAGTTTTGGCAGAGATCAAACCAACGAGATGTAACGTGTAGATTTTATTACCGTTGGACGAAGCCAGGCTCGCTGTGTCCCTCTGTTTCCACACTTTATGCTAATCTAACCAGCTCAAGCTTCTGTTCTAAACTATTTTCTTGGCGTAGAAGCTGAGTCATCCTCAAGTCCTCCTCTGCTCTGCCGCTGGGGTGCGACCTTTGACCTCCCCCATCTGCGCTTCAGTCTAGACTCTGGACATCTCCTGACAGCCGACTCTTCATCCCGACCTCAGCGTGCGTCCTCGTCCTCGCAGACATCCTCAGACTTTAATATCTGAGCCTGGCGGCTGGATAACGCTGAGGAATGTTCCCATTTGTCCACTGACACCCTGAACACAGCGGCACTGATGGTCAGCTGAGACGTCGCTCCGTCTTGATGAAGGTCGAACTGACTGACGGCGTCGATGGAGATGAGGATGATGATGATGAGGTGGTGTTATGGAGACAGGAATGGCCCATACCTTTGATCCTTCGTTGTATTTTATCCAACATCCATCGTTCTCAAAGGTGAGATGAAGTTATTCTTTACCTCATTACTCTGCTGTGTGTGTGTGTGTGCGTGTGCGTGTACATTGTTCACAGTACGATCAATGTGACTCAGCCCAAGAAACAGTTTGGCATATAAGACCCCCATAAATAATAATAATTAAGCTTGTTTTACAGTTTTACACAGTTTTGTTTTTTATCTCATATTTTTTACTTTTTATCTGCTAACACCTGGGGCGCCAGCTCCACCAGGTGAACTATCCAGGAGCCCCATAATTTAGATTTTTTATCATAATTTTTAACTTTTTTTTCTTATCATGGGGATATTTTTTACGTTTTCATCTTATTGTTTTATTTTACTGGCAGTAATGAGCTTCCATATATCTTGAATCATTTCAGGACATAATCAAAATCTGCACCCTGTTTCCTGTGTTGAAGAGTAGAGTTAGTTCTACCTGAGGCGATTAAAGCGTTGTAACTGAGCTCATGTTCATCCAGGTGTGTGTGTGGGAGGCATACATGTTAAAAGCGTTCCTGTGTGGGATGTTTCCTGGAATATCTGAATGTGTTTTCGAGCCCTCGAGCTTAATGAAGAGAGCAGCTCTGCTCCGCTGTGTTCTCGCCTCGAGCAGGCGAAGAGGAAGTCGTCTCATTCAACCTTTCTGGACCGCCGCGTCCTCGTTGCTCATATTTTATAACTGTGGAAATAAAAGCAGGCTGACCTCACGTGAACTTTGACCTCCACGTGTAATTGTACAAGAAAGAAATGTAATTTACGGAGGTCGATAGAAAGAATTAAAGGTTTTTGTTTATTCACTTAGCATTTAGTAGCTAGCAGTGTTAGCTACCATAATCACTTTTTACCTGCTGGATGAACAAAATATTCCTACAGAAAACACTTTGGTTGACAAGTGTTTCGTTGTTTTTAGGATTTAAAGTTTTAGTCTGTATCATTTTTAATCTTCCATACAGTGTGGGCAGTGATTGAGACGTCGGTATGGAAGCCCATTTCTGCCAGTAAAATAAAAAAACAAGATAAAACTGAGCCTTGATAATCTTACTGTGGAATTTTTTTTGTTATGAAGGTTAAGTTTTCATTTTATTTTTAATTTAATGGCAGAAATGGGCTTCCTTAGCTCTGAAATCATTTTGGGACAGAAGAAAAATAAACAAAGTTCAGTAAGTGCAAAACAACAGTTTAAAAAAATTAAAATACTATTAAACAGTAGCATATGTAGGAAATATATAAAGTTTTCTCTTTCCTCTCTCCAGGAATAATAATTGATTTTGTCCTTCATTGTTTCCACCTGCTTTTCTCCTGCATGGAACAGGGGAAAGACAGAATTCTGGGAAATGCTGGCGCTCCTGTCAGATAAGGCAGAAAGACGAACATCCTCCCGTCATTAATACCTCTGACCGCGTTTTTATAAAACAGCTTTTGTGGCTTTTTCTAAATCCTGAGCGTCGTCAGCCATTTTCTACAAATTATTCTATTAAAATTATCTCAGTTTGTTACGACGAGCCAAAAGCAGCGCTGTGGTCTCCGATAGCAACATAAAATCATCATCATCATCATCACTGCAGTCTGTGTCCGTATATTTCCTGTAGCATTAAAGGAGGCGTCGAGGTGAATAAATGTGATTTTAATGAATCTGTGATATTGTGAGGTCAGTGAAGCAGCCGCAGCAGCTCGGATTCATTATTAACAATAAATGTGTTTAATGAGCCGTGCTCAGCAGGTTGTTATGAACGAAATGTCGCTGAAGCTTTTCTGAGAGTTTTGTTTGTTGTATAATCATGTGATCAATAAAACCTAGTTACTGTTTTATCGAAGAGCTTCAGGAAGGCAACAAAAACTACAATTAAAGGAGTTGAATGAGTTCAAGAAGATGTCAATAAGGCCTTTAAAGCAGGTTCAGAAATAAAAGATCAAAGCTCATTTGAAGATACTATTAATTTATTTCTTTATTTTATTTGTTTATTTGATGGACACAGAGCAAGAATGCTAACAATGACAATATACAGATACACAAAGACAAAAAAACATGAACACTTAGGCTTGACAATAAAATAAGTCAAAATTATCAGATCAAGTCCATCAACTTTTTATCCCATAAGAGTTTTTATCTACGTTATCTCAAGTTAAAAGTGATTTTCAGATTTTCCTTATTGAACGTGGTTCCAATATTTACATCCCAGTTGTATTTCTACTACTTTTAAAGTTATAGTTTTAAAGCTACTTTTTAAAGTCGTTTGACCTACAAAACATCATCTAACATCTTGTTTTATTTGACAAAAGTGCAAAAAATATTGAATCTGTGATCATATACAACCAAACAAATTCCAAGCAAATTCCTTCAGTTTTTATTAAAAATATCAGGATTCTCACACGTCCTCAAAAATCAGCTAAACCTGGAAACTAGTTTTCCAGTCATGGAAACACCTGGATATTGATTAAAATGACCATAAATCGTTGAAATTAACAATTTTTGTAACTTTAATTATTATTTATTTTAACCCCTCACTCGTAAACCATGGTGTGTATTTGGTTTGAAGCTCAACTGTTGGATAAACTGCTGCTGTGACGTTTCACAGCAGTTTTAATGGACACAAAGCAGAACAGAAAAAAGCTCCTTCTTCATTTCTGCTCCCATGTTGGTCCAGAACTGTTTACACCACCTGCAGTGAACTTTAGGTGTCAAGTCTTTGCAGACGGTCACATCTACACTCATCCAGTCTGTTCTTAATGTTCAGATTTACATTGGTGATTGTGGTTAATCATTTGCATCCTGTTTATTCCGTTAAATTAAAAGTCTGATGAGTTTTATTCCATTTGTGTAAAATTCACAATACAAGACGGAGTCGTCACGCAATGAGGATGATTTTGTGGTCCTCTCACTTCAGGTTCTCACTTCTGTTTTTTCCTGACAATAAAGGACAGCACATGCTCACAAACGGTTGTATATTACTGGTCCTGGTGTCAGATGGAGAAACAGGCTGAAAGGTCGTCATTTTAAATGAAAATTGGTTTTCAATTGTCTTACCTGATTAAAGGTGAACATTTAAATAAAAAACCTGCAAACATCCAGTGAGCTCTCTCTTTGTGTCTTCGGTGCTAAAAATTATTCTCCCACAAACACTGACTGCCTCTCCACAGGTACAAGCTGTCCTTCATTCAGGCTAAAGAGCGGCTCAGCAGTGAACAAGGTCATGACATTTTCCAGCCGGTCAGTGAATGCTTGCTGAGTGAATGCAGAGAAGAGAACTCATTAAAATACATTAAAATGCATTTACGTGCAGCACATCTTCAGAGCTTCGAACAGCAGGATTTTCTTTCACTGTTTGTTCTGTAAAGTCTGCACCGCTGAGCTGTGACCTGCGTCCTGCCGGCAGCGTCTGATCTGGAAGTTTACTGTCTTGTTGTGCTCACTGTGAGTCACTGAGGGCGAAACTGTGGGCCAACAGATCGGATAAAACAAGATAACACAAGATAAACTCTCCTGCAGTGTCTCAGGCAACGAGGTGGCAGCAAGGACATAAAAACAATCAATGAAAACTATTGAATAGGATGTATAATAGAAGTTAGACTTCATCAT